AAAAAAAAATAAAAGCAGATTGCTATTAAAATAGTTCAGGACATGAAATAAACTCAAAGGCAAAGGTAAAATAAACGTACTTAAAGGCACCGTGATATCCTCAGATAAAAAATATAATTAATCACTGCCTTCAGAAATATAAAGATCAGTTTAAGTCATAAATGTAACAATATGAATCCTCACAGCAATTAAAACTGGGGGAATGGGTTAGCCCAGCATACCAAGGACGCAACTAAGGCTTGAACGTAATCCCAACAAAGAAAACAAAAATAAAGAATAGAGAGAGAAAACATGTATACACACATATATATGACATACATATATACAGTCGACAGTCTATATATTTCACTTTTAAACTGAAATTACTTGGGTGGTAATTTTTACTCAATCACTGGCAGCAGAAAGAAATCAAACTTGTAAACAAGGTTCACCACTGAAACACACTTTGTACTTACCTGCACTATTTTCCTCCGACATGACGGTGTGGCAAAGAGCAAGTACCCTAAGAAATTCATACACTTTGGAATCCCCCAGTTTAATGGATTCCATCAGACGGTGGTCAGAGAACTGACATGTTCTATCTGCTTGCGGATTAACTGCGAAATCCACAGGTTTATTTTTCTGTAGAAGAACAACAACAACAAAAAAAACTATATGCCTCTTTTCAATAATAAGCTTTTAAAATTCAAAAACGCTTCCTCTATATATTTTTAGTGCTTGTATGATTTTTCAGCCTCAAACATCTGGCACTACAATGGCTTTCTGTTTCCTCATTACTGTTAAATATTATCTTCTCATTTCAGAGCCAAGCACCAAAGCAGTAAACCTTCCAAAAGGATAAGGAAAAAATATCCAATGGGTGTACAGATCCTCAAAATACTTATTGCAATTCCAAAATACAAAGAAGCCCTGAAAATGGTAAGTTTTTTTCAAAACCTACTCAATGGCAAAACCTGACCTGACTTGAACTCATTTTGGCAGCAAAATCTGACCTAGAATGGTATGTGTCTAATTATAGACTTTTTTAGTCCACTTAGTATGAATTAATATTTTCCAACACAAAAATATTAATGCATTTCATTATAGAGTGCTTTCTGAGATCCCTCTGGAAGTACTTGCATAATATAATGATAGGATTAAAATTGGGATCTTGAAGAGATCTTTGCACTCCCATGTTCACTGCAGCATTATTTACCATAGCCAAGAGGTAGAAACAACATAAACATCCATCAAAAAATGAATGAATAAATAATATGTGGTATACACATGCAATGGATTATCATCCAGCCATGATCCTGTCTTTATGCACAACATGAGTGAACCTTGAAGGCACAGCGTGAAGTGAAATAGGTCAGTCACAGAAGGACAATTCCTGCATGATTCCACTTATATGAGGTACCAAAATAGTAAAACCCACAGAAACAGAAAGTAGAATGGCTGTTTCCAGAAGCTAAAGGTATGGGGAAATGGGAAATTGCTGTTGAATGAGTACAGGTTTCAGTCACTCAAGATGAAAAAGTTCTAGAGATCTGCCTAGCAACATCATGAGTATTGTTAATCACAGTTTAGTATACACTTAAAAGTATGTTGAGTAAAAAAAGAAAAACATGATAAAAGAAATAGGGTACAACAAAAGAGTGGACGATGATTCAATGGTAACTAATATCCCTGTTAATTCACTGACTTCCGGAAAACACAGAATGTACTTCTAAAAGTTTATTACTCAAGACACTAGTCCTGTGATAATGTTTTTGCTAAAAATAGTTGATGGGGAAATACTTTTAATATATCCTTTTCTTAGAGACTATAGAATGTTTTATATTACATCCAAGTATATGTATACCAAGTCCTGCATACAGGACACTCAGTTGTGTTTATCCCAGAATCATAGACTTACTTAATCACAGATTGTTTTGTTCATGTGATAAATTTTAAAAACTGCATTAGTGGAAAAAATTATCAACTCACTGGTAAGGAGTAAAATACACACTGACCTTAGACTTCCCTGAAACTCCCAGGGAAGAAACTGTGACTCAAAGAAATTAGAGTCAATCAAGCTGTCATTCAAGTATAAAATTGGCACACATATTTGTTATGAACCCTTCTTGAAACTAAAGGATGAACCTCATCCCAGTAAGAGATAACTGGAAAAAATCATTAGTAAAGGCCTAGTTAGGGGTGAGTACCTAATCCCTTTAAAGGACTAAATAAAGAAGAAATAGAGAGATTAAGATGCTAAAACAAAATGTGTATATTGTGTACCTTGATTATGCAAGACAAAAAGACAGCTAAAAAATGGTAAGATTCAAATTTCCTCATTTTATTATTTGAAGGTCAGATGATATCTATCATTTAAAGATTCAGATCAACTTATAAAAATCTATATATTTTAAGATTAATAAGTTTCTATAAAAATAGTAGAAAAATACGAGGGAAAGAGGCAGAAATATAACTTCATCGTTGTTCATATTAGGAAATTAACAGACACTGCCTTAAAAAAAGTATTAAGAGTATTATGAAAAAAAAAGAGTATTATGTAAACTCTTGAAGGTATGAAGTAGAAAAACAATGAAATGCTTTCCTAATGTTTCTAAACATTATAAGAAATGCACACATACAGAATAAAGAATCCATATAAAGAGTTATTAAACACAAGGTATATTATTGTTAGACACAAAGTACAGAACCTAAAATGTTATAACTAAGACAGTATATAGCCCAATGTAGATGGGCCAAACTCCATTATTAAAAGATTGGAGTGCAAAACAAACTCCAATCCTATGCTGTACACAAGAGACACATATAAAGTTATTCAGAAACACAGAAAATAAAAGGTAGGAAAATGCAAATGAAAACAAACCAGGAGTCAAGACATTAATATCAAATAAGGTTGAATTCAGGCCAAGAAGAATTAAATGAGTCAAAGAAAAGCAGTTTGATGTTAAGTTGTGTAATTCATAAAAAAAAATAAATAACCAATATAAATATCAATTCACCCCCAAGTAGCATCAATACTTCTAAAACAAAGATTTCAAGGGGAGCCTGGGTGGCTAAGTCAGTTAGGTGTTCGACTTGGGCTCAGGGCATGATCTCACAGTTTGTGGGTTCGAGCCCCGCATCAGGCTCTGTGCTGACAGCTCAGAGCCTGGAGCCTACTTCGGATTATCTGTCTCCCTCTCTCTCTGCCCCTCCCCTGCTCATGCTCTGTCTCTAAAAAATAAAATAAACATTAAAAAAAAAAAAGAAAAGATTTCAAGCTATGTAAGAGCTATATATAGAAAGAGATTTTCAAAATATCTAATTAACCTCTTTCATGCTAACAGATAAAAGATAAATAATGAAACAAGAGTTAAATAATATAATTTACAAGGTAGAAGTGAATGACATATAGGTAAGTTTATATACCTTGAAAGCAGAATATACATATGCTTTCCTTTTAAGAAGCCTGGAACATTGACAATTTACTATATTGAGCCACAAAGACAACCCCAATAAATTCCAAAAAGTAGAATCAATACAAATCTATTCTTTATTAAAAGTATAATGAGGTTAGGGGGAAGGCCTCTATCACTTGGGAATTTTAAAACTCTTGCCTAAAAACGTTTCAATGTGGATATTCAAATTGATAGGACAAAAATAAAAAGTTTAATAAACTATAGGCCAAATCTATGTGATAAAATTGAAGAAGTATTCAGAGAAAAATTAAGAACCATAGACATTTGTATAAAAAAAGGAAAAAATAAGTTAAGCATCCAAGTATGAAGTTGGAAAAAGAACAAAAGAAACTTTAAGAATGAAGAAAGGTGGTATTAATAAAGATAAAAGCAGAGCCTACTGATTAAAACACAGGAAAATATATACAAATAATAAATAAAACCAAAGGCTGTACTTTTGCAGGGGGGTGGAGAAGGGGCAACTTTCTAATGTAATCAAGATAGGAAAGGAAAAAGACAATCAAAAATAAAAAATGATTTTTTTAAAATAGCCACAGAGAGGGGCATCTGGGTGACTCAGTTGGTTAAGTGTCTGACTACAGTTCAGGTCATGATCTCACAGTTCATGGATTTGAGCCCCAGGACAAGCTCTGTGCTGAGAGCTCAGAGCCTGGAGCCTGCTTGGATTTTATGTCTCCCTCCCTCTCTCCATGCCCCTCCCTGCTCACACTCTATCTCTCTCACTCTCAAAAATAAATAAACATTAAAGAAATTAAAAAATAAAAGAAAATAGCCACAAAGAAAAAATTAAAAGGATCCTAAGAGACTCCTTGCTCAACTGTAAGACACAGATCATTTTTATGTTATATAAACTGTCCCACAGAATACAAAACTAAGGAAAAATTTTTAAAAATTATTCTTTTTCTAAAGTAAATTTAACATTGATAGCAACTCAAACATTATGCCCCCAAAAACCTTGAGAACTGATGTGTCTTACAAATCCAAGGCACATACCTAAGTAAAGCATTAGCAAACAGAATCTAGAAGCACACTGAAAAAAACAATTTAACATGACAAGTGACATTTATTTACAAAAACCAGGGATGGATGATAATCCAGTAGAAAAATGGGTAAGGGGTGCCTGGGTAGCTCAGTTGGTTAAGCATTTGACTTCAACTCAGGTCATGATCTCAGAGTTAGTGGGTTCGAGCCCCCAGACAGACTCTGTGCTGATAGCTCAGAGCCTGGAACGTGCTTCAAATTCTGTACCTCCCCCCCCACTGAGCCTCCCAGCACCCCCCCTACTTCTCTCTGCCCCAAAATTAAATAAACATTAAAAAATTAAAAAGAAAGAAAGAAAGCATCTGCCTTTGGCTCAGGTCATGATCTCACACAGTTCATGGGTTTGAGCCCTGCATCAGGCTGTATGCTGACAGCTCTGAGCTTGAAGCCTGCTTTGGATTTTGTGTTTCCCTCTCTCTGCCCCTCCCCTACTTGTGCTCTCTCTGAAAAATAAGCATTTAAAAAAAAAGAAAAATGGATAAAAATTAAACACAGTAAACTATTAAAAATATAAAAAAGATATCCAACCTCACTCATAAGAGAAATTAAAACTAGAATCATATTGATATATCATTTTACATGTCTTGCCAAATAGCAAAAACTGACAAAACACTGTATTGGTGAGGGTGGGGGAGAGCACTCTTGTACATTGCTTGTAGCAGGATAAATTGGTAAAAATTTTAAAGAAGACAATGGCAATATTTATCAATTATGAATGGACATACTTTGGATTTAACAATTCATTTCTAGAAATGTAACTTGTTAGACAGCATAGAATCCATGTAAAGTAACAAGCACACACTGTTATTTCTGTTGCAATTTTTCTACTAGCAGAATATTGGAAATATCCTGAATTTCCATTGGTGTCTCCTCACCATGAGACATGGAACAATATAACAGAATACTATTTAGCCATTGGAAAAAATAAGACAGCACTTTTTTTTTTCCACTGATCTAGTAAGATCTCAAATACACTGCTGAGAAAGAAAATTAAGAACGGCACAGATAGTAAGCTACAACCTATGTAAAAAATGGAGAAAATACTTCCTCGTATATACATAAATATCTCTAACAATTAAAAAACAGAGAACTCTGTGGTTGAGGTACCTCAATAGAAGGAATTCTGAACCATATGAAGCTATTTTTTTAATGTTATGTATTAAATATATCAACTTGTCATAGTGGAAATCAGTCCTCCAGGGACTCATTTTTTTTTTTTAATTTTTTTTTTTCAACGTTTATTTATTTTTGGGACAGAGAGAGACACAGCATGAACGGGGGAGGGGCAGAGAGAGAGGGAGACACAGAATCGGAAACAGGCTCCAGGCTCCGAGCCATCAGCCCAGAGCCCGACGCGGGGCTCGAACTCACGGACCGCGAGATCGTGACCTGGCTGAAGTCGGACGCTTAACCGACTGCGCCACCCAGGCGCCCCCAGGGACTCATTTTTTAAAAAAAAAAGTATGTACAGTTTGAAATTAAAAGAATGAAATTTATCACCTCCACACCTTAGTCATGTCTGTCTTCTGACCCATGTCATCATCAGCTTCACCTGCCAAAAAAAAAACCTTGAGAATTAAAAATAAATGAAATAGAAACTAGATTTGCATATTTGGTTTTAAAAAATACACTTATTTATTAAAGCACCATTACCAGATGGCATTATGAGCTCAAACGTAGACTTTTTAGGAATTTTTTCAAACTGTAACCCTAGACATGGTGATTAACCCAGAGAAATACTCATATTTGCCCAAGATAGAACTAAAATAGAGTATGCATTAAAACAAAATATGAAGCTCATAAATCATATTCTTCTGTATTTTTATCCTTCTGTTGCTACATTTTATCTCTGATGTTTGCAAGAGGCAAATTTTTGTTTTCTACTTCATCCTCACTGTAGGGGAATCCAAAATGATATCCTAGACAGACCAATTCTCATCAACGCTTGAGCTTAGTGAGTACATCTTTGTCTGTCTTGGTTTGGGCCAGATACATTTGTGTAATATCAAGGTCAAATTAGCATGTAAGAGTTAAACAATGTCAGTGCCTTCTGCAGTAAGACATAGCCACCTATGTGCCAAATATTGAAAAATAACTTTTTAGTATAAAGCCAATATATGCCTATTATAGATATATTGGAAAAACTCAAGATGTTTATAGTAGGAAATAAAAATCACTAATAGTTCTATCCCATAAAGATAACCAGTATTTACAGAACTTTTTTCATGTTGATTATGTGTGTGTATACATATATTTCTCAGATTGTTGAAAAATATCTTGTTCCTGCTGTTTTCAACCCAAGTGTCAGAATTTCTCTGGTCATTAAAAGTTCTTTGTGAACCTAATTTTGAATGGTTGTATACTAGCTACGGAGTATAATTTACTTTAGCTTTCCCCTATGTGGAAGCTTTTAAGATTTTTCTAATTTCTGCTTGGCATTTGAATATGTAATGGTATTTGCCAAGACTGTATTTCTTGTAATGATAACAAGAGTTCCTTGCATCAATCCTTCGCCAGGCATTTGTATTATCACAAACTTGCACCATTTATGGGTGAGGGAACTGAAGAACAGAAATCCACCTGACATTACTAAACTGGGGTGAAAAAGTCACTATAGTGTGATTTTGAACCCAAGTCTCTCTCTTTTCACTACACAATGCTATGACCAAAAAAAGCCCTTGATGAACTGTTATTTGCTGTTTATCTGGAGCACAGGGTCTAAATTCAGACCATGTTGTGACTGCTGTGTGGGCGGAGCCCCTGAGCTAGAGAATGAACCTCACCAAGCTCCTGGAATTTAAATCTCAAATGCACTGTGGTTATGTTCCAGTCAGTATACCATAGGCAGTAACTCATGAAAGATAAAGACAAAACAAAGCTGTGCCTTTGTGTAAAATTGTCCTCCAAAAGGAAGCATGCTTATAAAGATGGTAATGGAAGTGAAGAAAAGTTAAAGAAGTTGAAGAAAATAAAAGTTCTGAGCTAGAAAATAGAAGATTTAGATAAACCTGAATGGAATACCAAGTTTTCCCAAGGCCTGGATCTAGAATATAAATAACACAAGCTCACAGGAAAACAAGAGGACGTGATCCTTAAACATTTTGTGAGTGCTTTAGTAAGAATATATCTTAGTGGCATCATAAATGCATTATAAATTATAATGGGATATAAATTAAGGGTCTAAAGGGGTTAATTAATATTTCGGTTACTTTCCTGCATTTTATAAGGGAAACTACAAGCTATCATGGGATTTGTCGTAAATTTCAAGACTTGCAAGATCTTGGGATATATATACTTTGTGAAAATCAAGGGCCTTCCCTAAAAATAGCCCTGAGGCAAACATCTATACAAATAAATCTTGGTCCACATATCTGATTTTCTTAGGATCATTTCCTGGAAGTGATATTATCATTATTATGTTATTATCAATATATATCATAGCAAAAGAATCCCAAAGGTCCTCCAAATTAAAAATACCTCCAATACTCTAAAATTTTCCCATTTAAACTACTCTATGGGTTAAGTCATTATTCTTAGAAAGCCTCTGAAAATAATGTCAAAAGAAAATTTTTAGGGGAAGTTTCTATTTTACTTACCATTTAAACAAAATTTTTAACGTTTATTTATTTTTGAGAGAGAGACAGAGACAGAGCATGAAGAGGAGAGGGAGACACAGAATCCGAAGCAGGCTCCAGGCTCTGAGCTGTCAGCACAGAGCCTGACGTGGGGTTTGAACTCACAAACTGCAAGATCATGACCCGAGCCAAAGTAGGTCACTTAACTGACTGAGCCACCTGGGCACCCCTACTTACCATTTATTGTAACAGTGATATGAGAAATGTATAATGTAACTGAGGGCTTGTGGAAGTCCAGGTTGAAAATCATCTGGTTCTCTCTCAGAAAAGGGGGAGGTGGAGCAGAGGAGAGGGGATTAGAGGGATAGGGGTAGCGAAGGGAGGTCAATAGGTAGGACAGCATAAAAATCAACTTCTTCTATTTCTTAATTTTGTTCAAGTTCAAATCTTACTTTAAAGTGTTTGGCAATGTGTGAAGTTGCTCCTCAGGAGATAAAGGGAAGTTTTCCCTCTCTTTCTTGGATTTTTCTTCTTGAGATTTCTGGACTGAAAAACTGGACACTCAGAGTCCAGTGAAATGAGATTAGGAATCCAGAGGCACCCAACAAAAGGCTTCTGCTGCACCTCATGCTTTCAGCAGAGGAAACTGTCTGCTAACTGGCTCAAACCACATACAAATAGAATGCCTGAAAATCCTGGTACAGAGCAGGTATCCTGACAGATGTATACAAAATAGGAACTGGATGTTGATGAACTAGTTTATCTGCCCACTCAAAAGTAGCCCTGTGCAGTGTGAATTCTTAGGAATGAATTGTAAGTTCTCCCAAACACAGGCCCTAACATCAATTCCAGAGCTGTGAGGAAGCAAATATGAAATACTCCTTTTACAGAGATAAATCAAGTTACCAAGAACTTGCCCTCTCGGGGATATTGGCCTATTAAGCAGCACAGAGCACAATCACACAGTGGGGGCACAAAAAGGAACCTCAGACAGTATCACATCTAACCCCCATCTATACCCAAGAAAGGTAACAAATCCAAAGTTTCATCTAAATTATTCAGCATTCATTGAACAAATATTTAGTGACTGTTTATTATATGTCAAGCACTATGTTAGATGCTGATGGTGCCCATATTAATGATAAAGTCAGTGATAAATGGTTTGATTTTTAAAATAGGGCTGCTTATGTTTTTAAGGGAAATTTTAAAAAATTATGTTTTAAGGGGTGTCTGGGTGGATCAGTTGGTTAAGCATCTATCGGCTCATGTCATGATCTCACAGTTTGTGAGTTCAAGCCCTGTGCTGGGCTCTCTGCTGTCAGCACAGAGCCCACTTCAGATCCTCTGTCTCCCTCTCTCTCTGCCTCTCCCCTGCTCTCTCTCTCTCTCTCTCTCAAAAATAAACAAACATTAAAAAAAAAAAAAAACCAGTATCAGTACGAAGAACTGCTTCCCTTACCATAGATTTTCCCATTAATAGAACATTTTTTAAAAGTCATGATGTTTTCAGTGAGGGTGCCTGTTTTGTCAGAGAAAATGTATTCAATCTGGCCCAGTTCCTCATTGAGAGTGGTCGTCCGAGCTTCAGCAGGTGTTGCTTTTTCAGGGTAATACATCTTCCGATCCCAGTTTATAAAATAACTGTGTCCCAGACGAATGACTTCCATACTTTCATCCATTAAAATGGGGAAAAAAGAAAAAGAAAGAAAAGCTCCATCAGTTTCAGAACATACAAAACGTTGCCAAAGTAAGAAGTCTGTCAAGGAGCACCTGGGTGGCTCAGTCAGTTAAGCTGCTGACTCTGGATTTCGGCTCAGGTCATGATTTCACAGCTCAGGGTTGAAGCCTCGCATGTGGCTATACACTGACAGCACAGAGCCTACATGGGATTCTCTCTCTCCCTCTCTCTCTGCCCCTCCCCAGCTCACTCTCTCTGGCTCTCTCTCAAATTAAGTAAACAAACTTAAAAAATTTTAAAAATAAAAAAATAAGTCTGTCAAAGTCTTCAGAATTTAGAAAAAAAATGTGGATGCTCTGTCTCCAGGTCCTAGTGACCTTCAGAAGAATCTCAGCAGAGTCTGTTCATAAAATTTCCTAAGTCATTTTCTTGCAGCACCACGAAAATATAGACTTTGCATAAAGTCTTGGGGGAATATTCCATGGTTCACCGTTTATATTAAACAGGCCTAGTGGAGATTTCTTGTATAGCCTGTTAAGTTAGCATTTCTTTTATATCTTCGTACAAACTATTATTAAAGATGTTTGTCCAGCCATCTGGGTGGGTCAGTTGGTTAAGTATCTGACTTCGGCTCAGGTCGTGATCTCACGGTTCATGGGTTTGGGCCCCACATCGGGCTCTGTACTGACAGCTCAGAGCCTGGAGCCTGCTTCAGATTCTGTGTCTCCCTCATTCTCTGCTCCTCCCCCACTCATTCCCTTCCTCTTTCTCTTCCTCTCTCTCTCTCAAAAATAAACATTAAATTTTTTTTTTAAAAATATTTGTCAGATATCTGATCTAAAGAAATGTATTGTTGAGGACTTTCTAATATATCGTTTGGTGTGGCTTCAAGTTGCCAAAAAAGGTGGCAGTATCTCTGTAAAGCACTAAGCAAACCATAATAGATACTGAGTAAATCTCAATATTATCATTGTTATTATATTAGTTTGCCCATTTACCAGGAAAAGAGCATTGTCTCATGATCTAGCGGCAATTTATGACTTTCCAACTTTACAAATGTTATTTCTATGGCCAAAGGTATGTCTTTTAAAGTCTCTGTCATATGTAAGGTTAAATCAATTTCCAAAAAGGTTAGCAATGTAAGTTTCTACAATAAGATTACTGAAAATTAGCATTTACTATGCATGACATATATACATCATACAAATGTTACCAACTTATCATTTGTATTTTGTTTCCACTATTTTTGACACAAAGAAGTTGTCTTTTTAACTCATCAAATTTATCAGTAGTTCACAGTTTCTGTTTTGGGAGTTTTGTTGGATATGCTCTCCCTATGCCAAGATTATATATACAGACATCTATATTTTTCTAGTAGTTCTTTGCTGAATTTTCCACATCTAATTCTTTATTACAATTCGAATTTTTATAAAGATGATGTACATATGATGTGCTAATTTCCATTTTTACAAACATAAAGCTTTTTTATCACCATTTATTAAAAAAAACAAGTCCTTTTCCCTTATTGCATTGGGATGCTTCCATGTCACATATAAATTATTTTTCTCACTAGAATCTACTTTAGGGATTTCAACTTTATTCCTTAATATGTCACTTAATACATCTCTTATTTTCATAATTGCAGCTTTATAAACATTGGCAATACCTGAGAGGGCATAAGAGAATACTCCTCTTTTTAAAAAGTTCTTGGCTGGAACCACTCATTTATTCTTGCTGATATGTTCAACACATTTTAGCATCCACACCCCCACCTTCTCACAAAACTTCTTTAAGATTTGTATTAAGTCTATGTTAAACTTCTAATTACTTGGAAATAACTCATTTTAATATACAAGTGCAACTTCAAAGAGAAGGGTAAGTCTTTCCAGTAATTGAATTTTGAAAAGTATCTCTATTGATAAGGAGTTTTAGTTTTCATTTGCTTTGTTTTTCACATAGGTCCATATTACAGCTGGATAGATTTGCTACTGGACATTACATCTATCTGTTCATTGATGACATAATTGTTTAAATTATTGTTAGCCTAATGAAAAGGTTTTTTTTAACGTTAAAAGCTTTATCTAATGTTAACAAACTTTGCTTATGCCACAAAATCAGACATTGAGCTGAATTATCTTACTAAGATCTTCGCAGAATTATTCTTTTGGATTTTCTAGGTTTATAATCACATTGTCTATGCTCATCCCTTCTAATAGGGTTATTTCAGTTTCAGGTTCATGTCTTCCTTTGTTCCTTGATATTTCAGCTGCATGGCTTAGAACATTAGCAAGAACATCCAGACCAGTATCACAGAGTAATGACAATAGCAGTGACCCATGGCTTATTTCTGAACTTAATGGGAATTGAGCCTTGGTGTTCTCATCTGTCAAGTGAGAAAATTAACAGTGACTGATTACACTAACTCCTAACATTTGTCTCCTTGAAGACAAAAGATGATAGAAAAATCCTTTCTAGGCATTAAATTCTATGCTTCTAACATTTCCCTCTCTGAAAGTGGTATGGTGCTAGTTCATTTCCTAACTATTTAAATGGCAACACTTTTTTTCACTTAAACTAAAAATTACTCTATGATTCTGTAGAACCATACAAAAGAAAAATAAATAAGGCATTTTCTGTATTCGTTTATGTAACTTACTGTTATAGCTGACCCATACATATCCACCACCACACACACATACTTCCCTGTAAATTCTCTGCTAGCTTTTCTACTTTACCTTTGTTTTCTTTATTCCATTCACTCAAAAAGCATTAGCACTTACAGTGGACCAGGAACAGTGCTTTATCTGTCATAAGCAGATGAATGAATGAATCCTGACCTTCTATTCCCTAATTTCACTAGTAAGGGCATTAAGACCTAGAAGTCAAGTGACTAACCCAAGGTCACACAAATAACTAACCACAGAGCCAAGACTAGACTTCAGACATTGGTAAAGCCAATGTAGACCTGACTCTAAAAATGGCATTATGCAAGTAACTGTACAAACAATTTGAAGCTTTGATCTTTCTAAAAGTAAGATAGCTTCCTGAAAATTCAAAGCAATATGAATTAAACAACATGTGATCCTTCTGTATTATAATACAAACCAATGGAAGTATTGTAAATTAATTTGAATTCTTGGATCTTAAAATAGTCTGTAGAGAGGAAGTGTGTCTTTTTTGTTTGGGAAAGAGGATTCAGGACAGTCATAGTGGAACATTCAGCTCTTTGTCTTATAATAGCAGAAAAAAGGAGACAAATGTTCAGAATTAGCATAATCAAGTGCTTAGTGTTTTCTGCCTGAATGCTCAAAGAGCAGGGCTTAAGATTCCACCCATTCTGTGGCAAAATAGGCAACATAGAAATGAATTCCTACTGCTTTGGGAATAACTTCCAAAATTTAATTCCTTGGGAGTATGTGGCTGCATTTCTTAGAATGATGTATTTAAAAAACTGTAGCTGGGTATGTTTTAACACTACAGATAAACAAACTGACAGCACAGAAATAGCCTACCAACATCAACATCCTTTGCTCACGTGGAATTGTTAACCGATCAAAGTAAATTTAGCACTTTCATCCTCAAGTGACCTATGGCACTAATTTATTCTTCATACCCATTCAAAAGCCTAAGGAAAGCTTTTATAGAAGGCCTTCTCTCCAAACAGAAATATGCTGTTTTTGTCGATCTCAGTCTTTAGGATTGAGCATCCTGACATTCTCTCGAATGCTTTCTCCCTCCACATTGAGATCAGAATCACTGCTCTTGTATGATGAGAGGAAAGCTCACATTTACCTTAATAATTATTATGCCTTACCAACAGGTACAGAACTCTAGGCTCTTTTTACTTTCTCTTGGGGTCTTTGCTGAGTAATAAACCAGACACAGCTTAGGGAGAGAAGAAAACCAGTGTACCAAGTGTCACAAGACTTGGGTTTGGATCTTGGTTCTGTCCTTAACCAGCCCCATGATCCCAAGCAAATCATCTCATTTATGAAAGAAGTTGGGCAATAACTACTTCATAAGGTTGTTGGGAGACATAAATAAAATAAAGTATATGGAGACACTTTACATAAAATACAAAATGTTATCTAGGGTAAGGTAGTATTATTCGGAGCAGAAAGGAAGTAACAAACCAATTATTTTAGTCCCACCATTTTCCTGAGCAGTTCATTGGCAAACTAAGGCACAGAGAAGCCAAGCGCTTTCTTCAAGGTCACACATGCCAAGACGATAACCTGGGTTTGGACTATTCCAACTGGGTTTCCTTTCCACCACTGCAGGGGACACATTAGAAAGAAAAGCAATGCTAACCTGGGAATTTAGCCTTGACCTCTAAAACACCAATATTTCAAATTATTAAATGAAAAATGCCAACACACTTCAAAGAAAGAGCATACACAGAATATACTTCCTTCATGAGGACATATGAAACTGCACATGTGCAGATGGTAAGCCACTATGAGCATTTATTGTTCATTTAGGACATAAAAGGAAAGCTATAAAAGCTGACCATAGCTCTTCTGGCAAAAAGCAGGATTTACTACAGACTTTATAACTGGATACAAGCATAAGAGGTCCTCAGAATCAAAGATGAGCCAGTAGGATACAGTTTAAATAGAGCCTGCTCTGACCACAGCTCCAGAAGGCCCAGAGCAATTTGTGGTGTTGTGGCCACATGCCACTACTTCAAGTCAATTTCCCACAAGTTGACATTTCAGTTTCCTGACTGCTATCCAAAACAAGGGTGGATTTTGTGCATTGAACGTCCCTTGCTTCATCATAGTTAGGATTTTGGAAAGAGAGAAAAAGAAGCTTGTAAAAATTAGTGGGGATTTAGAGCTGGTAATTTCTTGTATTGTTAAAATACTGGTGATGAGGAATGTCAAACAACCAAGTCTCATCTTGGCTCCAGTGTCTTTAGGATTATCTGTCTCAGTCTTGGTAGGATTAGGATTGGGGCGCCTGGGTGGCTCAGTCAGTTAAGTGTCTAACTCTTGATTTCGGCTCAGGTCATGATCTCATGATTCTTGAGTTTGAGCCCCGCATCGGGCTCTGCACTGAAAGCACAAAGTCTGCTTGGGATTCTCTCTCTCTGCACATGCCCCTCTCTCTCAAAATAAATGAATAAACATTTTTTAAAAATCTCAGTTATACATTCTAGGGCCAACTCCTAAGCCTTATCAAATACACACACATACACACACACAAAAAATGTACATATATACATACATATAGAGGTGTGTGTGTGTGTGTGTGTGTGTGTGTGTGTGTGTGTGTGTGTGTATGGGGAGAGAGAGATCATTTTAGTTCTGATTTGTGGGTCCAAATCTAGAAATGATAGATCCTGTTGCAGTGAGAGCTAGGAGTCAGACTTCTTATTTAACAATGGACAAGTACCACCCAGTATATTTCAACTTCTTTATACTATAGTTACTAATAATAGGAAAAATTAACATTCATTAAGCTTTTACAATGTGTCAGACAATTCTTTTAAGAGCTTTACAGTTTGTTTACTCTTTATACAATCCTATTAAGTAGAATATTGTCTTCTTTACTTTTAAAATGAGGAAACCAAGGCACTGGAAGGTGAAATAACTTGCCCAAGGTTATGGAGCTAGTGAGTGGTGGAACAGAATCTGAATCCAGGTATCTGGAGCCAGACTAGTAGCAGGGAAGCATCATCTCAACAGAGCTCATCAAATAGTCTTCCATTTCTTACCCAATATCAACTCAATTCTAACTGATCAGGTTGCATGAGATTATATTGTAGTCCATTTATTCCAAAGAAAAACATTCCTAAGAAACCAGATCAAATCAAGAAGAAAATGAAACGCATTTATTATAATTTGAAAATACAAAAGTGAAGCAGATTAAACAGCTTAGTTGCCTCATTTGTAACAGCTGTAGCAGATCATAAGCAGTTAGAGCAAGACATCTCCCTCACTGTGGTAATTTTAAAACAAACAAAAATGATTAGGCACAACATGATGATGCAGAACAAAGTCTTTTGACAAAGTGGCTTTTCTAAAGTATAAACTCTCGTCTTACCTCACATATAATGAAATGGGCACAACTGTATTGAGAATAATAATATATGACCAGAATGTTAAGAATCCCGAGAACACAGAGTTCTTCTCTCCTTCATTCCAAAAGAGGAAAGTTCTGAATTGGTCCCCAACTTGATTCTCCCAGATTGAATTTCCTATTGCGAGAATAATTCCCATGCATACCAGAAACCCAAAAATCTGAAATGAGAATGGAAGTCTGGTTAAGGTTAATTTGAACACAAAACTAGTCACATCAACACAATCCAGTTACACTCCTAACTCCAAGAAATTGTCATTTGAAAAGCAAGTCATGCGAAGCTCTTCATACTTATCAATAATCGTACAAGTTTAATATTTTTATGTTTTACTTGGCTAAATATTTTACATGCATTTTCTCACTTAATTCTTCCAGTGATTTTCTGAGATAGGGACAATCTTTAGTCACACTTTGCTGGTCAAAACCAGAACAAAGTAAAACAGAAGCACTGAAATATTATATAACTTGTCCATGGTCAAAAGCCAGTAACTTCACAACCTTGATTTGTGACAAGGGCATATATTTAGATGGCTTAGGAAGGCAGTATGTCCTGATTTGCCCTGGTCAGCCCCAGTTTGTATCTGTTATCCAGGCAGAATATTAATTGCGTTCCGTCCTTTCACTTGCAAAAGTGTCCTGTTTGAATGATAAGTTATACAGTCGCCTAAGGCATAAAAGCAAAAGGAAGAAAACGTCAGTGCTAAAGAACAACCTGAAGCCAGTCAAGTCTCTTAGCTACAGATCTAGCTGCACAATCCTTACTTAAGGCTAACAAGGAAAAGAAAGATTAATTAAAATACTGCATGCCATATATGTTTTCCTTTGGAGATTAAAAAAAAGTGAGAATCAACCTGAAAACTGTTAGCCAACTCTTACATTGTGATTAGTATCAGTATTAGGTAGAGCAGACATTTTGGAGGTATAGCAACTTTCAGAAAGAGAGCAAGGTCAGTTCCTTATGAGCCCAAATGCCAGCCTTGGAAAGGAAAGACACCAAATCAATGAATAAATGAATACATAAGATCTGAGTGAATATTGGGCTTTGAGAACTTTGCTCTACCAAGTTCATTCTGTGTTAGGAGCAGAGATCAGCCACTGATGGGAGGGGAGTGTGAAGCTAGGGAACAGGAATGTATTTAACCGGCTATTTCCTTCTTCCTCTAAAAAAGGAATATTCAGGCATTCTAGGACTGCTTTCTTCTTTATTCATGAACAAGATAGACATATAAGACATTTATGTAGAAAGAGTATGCGGAAAACCCGATTTAAAGTGCATTAGAAAGCCATGTATTAGAGAAAAGTAGAGTTGTGAATTCCTGAAACCCTACCTGATACCTGTATCATGGTATCCTCTTTTCTTTCAATAATACTACCAATTAATTGAAGTAAATTACTTTAAGGGCATTAAAATTGGTACTATTTGGCATTAAATGCTCTAACTTAGGATGGAATCAGCTTCTAATAATCTAATGGGGCATTCAATGTTCTAATATGAAAAGTTGGAACAGTCTCTCCTTCACAATCAGTAATTTTACTCTGTAAATACATATTTGTGTATGTGTGGTAGATACATATACAATCCCCATGCAAGCCCTAGAAGTGGGCTCAAGGCCATTTAAATAGAGAATTCTAGGAGGGGGCACAAGCTAAACATGTTCCCTTGGCCCCTGAGACTCTGCCCCAAGGGAATGAGTTTAATAGGAAGAAAGCCCAAGTCTGAGGATGATACCAAAAGTAAAGCACAAAGCAAGGTCAGTATTTTGTGCCCAAAAAGAATTCACTTCCTTCTTTCCTTATTCAGAGTCCCACTATCACATATCAGTTATGCAAATATTTATTGAACTCAAATTCTTCATAATTGTTTGTGAGTCTATGGAGGGGGGCATAGTTCAAAGCCACTGTCTTCATATTTAAAGTCAACGTCCTTCAACTTAATTCCAATACAACGATGCAAAACAATATTACACAAAAAGTCAGAGAACAATCAGGTGCCTAGCATCAGGTAGCACGCAAGATCTACTGACAAAAGGGTAAAACGCAAAGAATACTAGACTGTTTTTGGTAAATGGATGGAAAAGAAAATCATTTCAAAAGCACAGAAGAGAAAAAAATTCAGAGGAAAGAGATAATCCTGGGCTAAGGAGGTTTAGAAGCTTTCATGGAGGAGGAGAACTATGACGTGGGCCTTAGAAGATTCATAAGCAGAACCAGCTACACAAATTGGGGAGTTCAGTGCAAAATGAAAAGGCAGGACCCCTTGTTCAAAGGTTATTGATAACCTTTGGATTGTTGGTAATTTCCACGTGGCAACAGCGGATCAATCATCCAAGTATGAGGCCCTTCTGAGTGGGGAACCTGTAGAACTACAAAGATCGCACACCCATGAAGCCAGCTCCATCCATAAGCTATGTGGAGAGGACATGAGCAAAGGTAAGACAACAAAAAGACCCAAGTAACTTAAAAATTATGTTTTATTTTTTAAAAACAAATGCAGGGGGGCGCCTGGGTGGCGCAGTCGGTTAAGCGTCCGACTTCAATCAGGTCACGATCTTGCGGTCTGTGAGTTCGAGCCCCGCGTCAGGCTCTGGGCTGATGGCTCAGAGCCTGGAGCCTGTTTCCGATTCTGTGTCTCCCTCTCTCTCTGCCCCTCCCCCGTTCATGCTCTGTCTCTCTCTGTCCCAAAAATAAATAAACGTTGAAAAAAAAAATTTAAAAAAAAAACAAAAACAAATGCAGGTACTTGGAATATGAAGAACTTGCAAGACCATGAAGACCTCCATAAGCACTGATCTACTTCTCATGAGAAACTCTACTGATGGTTGAGATATCATAATCTAGAAAGTATAAGGCAATGTAACTGGGCCCCAAATGCAAAATATCCAAATAAAATTCCACACACACAAAAAAATAAGTATTTCTGAAAGAATTCCCAACCAAATGTAAGAAATATATTAAGATATCAATGATAGTGATTTGCCTAATTTTGTTTTAGTACCTTACCCATAGTACTAGAGTATTCATCAGTCTATCAATGCTTGTCCTCTTAAACTTTGTCTTACCACTGTTCTGCATTAATTTAGTGTCGGGACCTGCAAAAACAAAATTAAATAAAAACTTTAAAATGATTTGATGATTTATTATTATTATTATTTATCGTGTCAAATGTTACTGAAAGGAGAACAGTATTTTTTTCAAAATAATTTAACTTTTATTAAGAACAGGGACCAAAAAACATTGAGAACTCTGATCTTGATGACTGATAGTAGAACACTACTGGCTACCATCAACTTTTCTGCCTGATCTTTGGGTTAATGAGTGAGTCTCCTAAGAGGTATGAATGGGGAAGTGATGGTTATGTGGATGGAGAGAGTAAGTTTTGCTGCCCACCTTGCAATCAAGCTATGCATCTCCTTGTCTTATATCAGGATCTAGGTCTGAATCATCTGTAGGTCTCTTACACACCTAGCCCATAATTTTAGTCAATATAAGGTTAAATTTTTATTTGCAAATTTAATTAATATGAATAAATACAAAATTTTAGTTTGGAAAGAAAAAAAGAACAGGGGCCAATTAAGTTTTGTATAATTCTCAACTGGTTGCTTAACAACAACCGTGGAGACTGCAAGATAACTGGTCTCCCTCAAATAGGATAAATCCAGACAGAACTTGTGGCTAAAAAGTTTTAGAAATGCTATTTTTCAAAAAGCTGTGTATGGATGTGCATGTAGTTGAACCAATGAAAGATAACAAAGTCAATCCAAGTAAGGAATAATCTGGAATGTTAAAAAGAATGTAGTAATAAACACAATTCAGAACACTGAGATCAAAAATGGAAAGTTAAAATAAGAAATCAAATTATAGGGGCACCTGGTGACTCAGTCCGTTGAGCATCTGACTCTTGATTTCAGCTCAGGTCATGATCTCACAGTTCCTGAGTTCAAGCCCCACTTCAGGCTCCATGCTAAGAGCATGCTAAGAGCATGGAGCCTGCTTGTGATTCTCTGTCTCCCTCTCTCTCT